CCTCCACTTTCCACTGGGCTTTTTCACCAGAACCTGGTTGGATATCCACCTTGGATAGATAGCCTCTCTTATGAAGCCACTGAGGCTAAGTTTGTTTACTTCGTCTTTCAGTGCCTCGTACCGCTCCGGATTTAGGGCATGCCTCTTCTGTCTATAGGGGGCATAGGAGGGGTTGATGTTAAGGTGATGGCAACTGATCCTAGGATCTATTCCCACCATATCTTCATGTTTCCATATGAAGACATCCAGGTTCCCTTTCAGAAAGCGTATCGTCTCGGCTTTTGCTTCAGGTGACAATGACTTCCCTATACGCAAGACCTGACTGGGGTCTTCCGGGTTGACGGGGAAAGTTTCCAATTCTTCCATTGGGGTCGCATTTGGTTCAGAGTTAATTATTCGGGGGTCTAACTCATCAAGAGGGTGTCCTTGTTCAGGGGCCTCTTCCATGTCGACGTCTCCCTCTTGTTCGGAGGTATGCCAAGTCAGGGACGTCGAGCATTTCCACGTCCGTACCTTCAGCGGGTACCTCAGTTAGGATTACATTAACAGTTTGGGGCTCAAACTTTCGCAGCGAGTTTAGGTAGCATGCCCTGGAGCCCATCTGATCGCCTCAGATCGTAGCAATCCCATGTTTGGTTGGAAATTTCATGCACAAATAGTGAATGGACGTGACAGCCCAAAGATATTTCAGAGCCGGTCTGCCCAATACTCCATGATAAGTTGATCTGTGATCTACCACCAGAAATTCCATGAAGTGCTGGGCCACTAGGGGTGCCGAACCCATTTTGACAGGCAGGGTGATCCGTCCTCGTGGGATGATGCTGTCCCCAGTGAATCCGAATAGTGGGTCGGTCATGGGGATCAACCCATGTTCAATTTGCATTTTGTCAAAAGTGGATCCGAACAATATGTTCACGGAATTGCCATTGTCAACAAGCATGCGTTTTAATCCGTTTCTAGCTACTACAGCTCTTACAACCAATGCATCACAATGGGGGTGGTGAACTCCCTCTGAGTCTTCCTGGGAGAAGGTGATTGGGGCCATCATGTTTGCTGATTTTGATTCGTTGACAATATAAGTGATCATTGGGGAATCCTTTGCTTCTCTTGGGTAATTTCTCTGGGCATTCCTAGTGTTGCCACCGACGTGGGGTCCCCCAATGATAGTATCGATTTCCCTGATGACCTGGCTTCCAGAAAATTGGGCTTGATTTTCGTGTCTGGATTGGCCTTGGTCCCTTGATTCTCTCCTCCGAGGAGATTGTTCCCTGTGACCTCTCCTTCCCCTCCTCGGGGAGGCGGATCTGCGAGGGTGTTCGTTCCTGCTGGAAGTGTGCAAGTTGCTTCGATCAGGACGTCTATTGACGTCACGACACTCACTAGTGTCATGTCCATATAGTTGATGGAACGTACAAAACCTTGCTCCTTCCAAGGGTCTGCTTGACCTCTTCTTCTTCTTCTTATTGTTATCAGTTCTTCCAGATGGTCCTGCTTCGGTAGGGGCATTATCATATGCCAACACTGGTACTACATTCAATGTGGCGGAAGCTAGGGCCTGTCTGGATGTGGGAGCTATGGTATGTCCTGCTTGGGTCCATTGCTGAGTAACAAGGTGTGCTGCGAGTCTTCGACCTACCTGCCTCTAAGGAGGAGGGAGTCCCTACGCAGCACGGTTGCAATGATCAATCATTTCTTCACTAACAATTTCCACTCTCATCATTTTCACCAGCTCGTCATATGTGGAGGGATTCTTGCTGCGCATGTCCCTCCAGAACAAAGTGTTCATGTTGAGCCCACTTTTCAGGGCTGAAAGGGCTTCTCTGTCAGTGACCTGCTCGTAGTAAGTAATTTTGTCTGTAAACCTGACGAGATAGCTTTTCAGCGTCTCCCCAGGGGCCTGCCTCATGTCTTGCAGGCGTTCAACTGGTGCCTCTCCTTCCCTGCGTGAGGGTACTGGTTCAAAAATGCTTTCTTCAAATCTGGCCAACTTCTGATGCTTAGGGGTGGAAGCCTGTTGTACCATACTTCGGCGGTCCCACCTAGTGTTAAATGGAAGGCTCTGCATTTTAGAGCAGGCGAGGCTCCCCTCAGGCTCATCTGTGTCATGTACTTGGTGAGGTGCTTCTTCGGATCCCCCTTTCCCTCATACTTGGGAATCTTAAGGGGCATGAAATTCGCTGGCATTGGGAAGCTTCGGATCTCCCTTGAGAAAGGGAGGTTATCATCATTGTCGTCAATCTCATAAGATCGACAGGGCCCATCTGACCTTTCATCATCTTGGATGTCCTGGGGTGGTAGAGGTGCTTCTCCTCGACTTCCCCAATCGACTAGGTTCCTCCTCTCTCTCCTATTTCTAGGAGGAGGAGGGGGAGCATATTCTTGTTGATCATCTTGCTAGGCGGACCCTATTGCTAGGATCCTCCCCTATCTAGTCAAAGACGCTTACTGACCTTTGGTCCTCGTGTTCCTGAGGGAAATTGTCCCCCAAGCGTGGTTCTGATGGCTGACTCCCTTGCACATACAATGATGTTTCGGCGTTCATCTCCCTTTCGAGGGGATGTTCTGCGCGCCGGCTCATGTGGCTTCGGGAGTGAGATACAGGGGCTTCCCGCACCGAATAAGATCCTTGGGGGCATTTGATAACCCTGATAACCCTGGGCTTGCATGAGGAGTTCCTGCATCGCCATATTCTGAGCTGCTATGTCTCTCATACCTGCAGCTATCTGAGCCATTCCTTCAGTGAGTATGGCTATTCTTCCACCTCAGCGACGCCGGTGATGTGGTCTCTGATGAGTAACATTGTTATGGAGTACCTCTTCTTCAGAGGCCTCTCTCATGGGGTTGTCGTCTTCATAGCTATAGCTCATCCTACCTTGGATTGTAACTCGACTTTGTTCTTTTTCAAGAATGTCCCCTTTTCAGGGTTAGTCGCTAGTTTTTCGGTAACCTCTCCGATGGAGAACGCAAAACTTTAATGGGGAGTGTTTTCCACAGAGGGCGCCAATCTGTTGACCTCGAAAATTGGTCCTTCCACGTGGCCAATTGAAAGCTACTCCACGTGTTCCTTCTTGCGCACAATCAATGAATAGTCAAACGCACACGGCCGAAACTAGTGGGGATGGTGTCGGCCGTATACACTCCGACGATCAAGTCAGGTTTAAGCGGTCGGAACAATACCCAGGGGCTATGCAAATCAATGAAAAAGGGGGAGGAGAAAATATATAAGCTTGCAATGGAATGTTATGTAGTAAGAGTTTCATTACCTTTGCCTCTTGCCAAACCTTGGGTATTTATAGGTGGTATGAACCGTTGGATGTGGGACGCGTGTATACATCTAGCGGTATGAGGCGTCCGCTCATAAGCGTCAATCAGCCGCGTCTGTAGAGTGGGCGGACAGTTTGTTTCTTCTGAGTTGAATTGACATAAAGTTGATAAGTCATATCAACTAGCCTCGTGGAGACGTCAAATCAATTTAAACCTTAGGTGCATAAAGGATCTTGGAATAAATCTCTTTCTGAGCTTGGCGGCGGATCTTCTGACCGGGGTCCACTTGGTCTTGACCTCGGGGGCGAGGTGCTTTGGCAGGTCAGTAATAGGAATCGCTTGTATCACTTCGGAAACACTTCAGACGGGTCTTTATCAGGTCGGAATATGTGGTGCTGCGCGTTCCGAGGCGTATAAGATCGGAGCATAACAAATTTTTAATGGAATAAATGTTCATCTCATTTCATAACTGGATTAGTTGATTGGTATGAAATTCTTCCTTCCTAAATTCAAGACAACTTGGGCCTTTTTCAAAAATGTTATTATTTTTCTTACTTTTATTATATAAAATTCGACCTACACAAGTAGCTTATCAAGACTTAATTCACAATCGACCTTTTTTCCACAATTTTTGTACCATCGAAGCAAAGTTGACGAGAATTTTTAGTATAATTAGACATTCTTTCTTTTTTTTAGCATGAATTTCAAAAATATCTAGGCATTCTCTCTTTTTTTCTTGTACGGATTTCCAAATATCATATATTCTTGTCAAAGTAAATAAAGTTAACAAGTTCCACTTCTAATTCGTTTAAACGCGATAGGCTTTCTCAATTCAATTTAAATCAACAACGGGCAATAATCTCTTATGGTTGTAGGTGCCGGTCCAACCCCAGCCAACCATTTTAACGCCTCTAATTATTAGTTTGTTTTTCGAAATTCATCCACTCGCTTCCTTGAATATCAGTTCAAAGTATTTTAGTATTATCGTAATAGGAGTTTGTGTTATCTTAACATATGTATGTTATCAAGAATATATCTATATTCTAGCAACGAAAAGATAATTTAACTTACAAGTTACTAGATTTTGTTGTTCTTGCCTTCTTGTAGTATTGACTGCTCTTCTTCCTATGATTAGCTCCAACAATACAACGATATAGTTAATGTCTGATTGCACAGTTAATTGACCGGTTCTTTGGTACTTTGGGGGCACAATCAGGGGTGAATCTTGGGGCCGGGTTCAGTTAGGACGGACTGCAAGCGCTGAAAGCTTACTATTGACAACCAACGTCTGTGATAACCAGGTTGTTTATTAATATTTAATTAAATAATATTCAAAAAATCGTACGGATTAGAACTAAAAAAACTAGATACATCATTAGAATTAGAACTAGGTACGAACTTTCATTTTGGATGAAAAAATCGTTCCATAATCTACAACATGCCCTAATTATTTTTCAATTAAATAGACAATATATATTAACAAAATGTCAATATTCAGTTTACAATTAAAGTTAATTAAACAAACATTATTATATCAACAAAATTGAAATTATTTATATGCTTATATCAATTTTATGTAGTTGTATGATTCCACTTTTTCGCAATCGATTTTTTGTGGACGAAAAGTGGAACATTTTATTAATTTTAAATAAGTTTTATTGAAAGATTCTTTATGATACTAAGGCCAATTTACAAATTCATCCACCATTAATAGATCAAACTTTCAAATCAATTGGTTAGCGGGAAAAAAGAAAAGAAAAGAAGAGAAAAAGATCCCAACGACATGTAGACACCAAAAGTCTCTGTTCTCCTATTAGATTTACTAAATGCTGGTGGTGTAAAAGGCTCATCATCAAAACCTCCATAAGAAATTCTTCGTTTCCTTGTAATCCATTATGGTCGAGTTTCTTCAGAGCTACAATCTGAACTAGTCGACCTATTATCAGCTCGTTTAAAGAAATGAAATGAAAAAAGCCAAGTTTTTTGAATTTACGTAAGACTTACTTGTCTTGTTTTATCGAGACGACCTTTATAAACTCGTCCAAATCCACCTTCTCTAGTGACTGTGAGACATTCTTGTCTAAAATTCTTCGTTGCTATAGCCAGTTCTCGGAAGGTGAAAGTTTGTGCTACAATGTTGTTATTGCCTCCTCCTTTATCAGTAGCCTTATTATTCGTAGCTTCTTTTTGTGTCTTTCTAGGATTTTCTGCACAAGAAACAAAACATATAATCCTTTGATTTATGTAATCAATTCAAGCAACTGTTGTTATTATGTAATAAGTATGGATTGAACCACTTCATCTAAGAGTTCAAATTGTCAACGAGGAGAGTAGTACATTGTTCAAATGTTTGAGACCGAGAGATTTGGACAAAGGAGCACGAGAGAGGGTTGGAAAAACAGACGGACAGCCCAAGTGCATGACCGGGCACAACACGCCAACTCCATCAGTGAATTTTGTCTCTGCTGGTCACATGGGTGCACGGCCGCAGTGCGACTGCGCGACTGACATTTTTCAAACAGGAAACTAGCAGTTAGGCTAATTTCTCATGCATCTTTTCATCTTTTTCACCAATAATCATGTCAAGCCGTTTCATTCAATTCTTCATTTTTTCTTTGTTGTTCATTCTTCTATTCTTTGCTAGTAGATTGAACCATAAATAAGTGGAAGCGGCTTTTTCGCTACTAGATTGAACCATCTCATGATTCTTATCTAATAGATTAAGGCAGTAGAGATGGCACGAACTTGTTCGTCTAAGTTTTGACGTCGACAACCGGAATACCTACTAAAGCAAGATTCTCTAATTAATATTGTAATCTGGCCTTTCTTTAGGGAAAAAAGAGCATGAACAATATGATCCTAATGTCAATTTCAGTTTCTGAATATTCTGCGGTTGGGAATGTTGTTGTAATTGTAATTGTGGTTGTGAATGTGGTGGATGCGGTCTCTGTGCAGTCAGGTGGCAGGCGACGGCCCTCCATAGCTGTTGGATAATTTCTTTTCACGGGATGAGAAACATGAAAAACAGCTCATTTGCAATCTTCACCAGCAAATATTCCAATTGATCTCGACTTTTTTTCTCCCAAAAGGCCGATCAAAATCTTGATTTTACAAAAGAGGAAATTAGGCCATATACCCCATTTTTTAAAAAAGTTTTGATTAACACCTTTAAAATTATTTAAATATTTTAAAGAAGTATTATTTACATCCTAAATTGATAAAATCAAAATCAAAACTGAACCCAATTCTACAAGCCCTAATCCCCTAAAATGCTTGGAAGAAATCCCTAAAACGCCTGATGCCCTAATCGTAAACTCCTAAATCGCAAAATTCAGAAGCCTTCCCTTCTCTCCAACAACATTCGACTATAAATCTCCATTTTCGATCAATCTCTTCTTCGTTTTTCCTTTGTAACCGTTCAGTTCCGTTCGTTTTTCCTTCATAACTGTGTAAATCTCGTATTTCTGCAATGTCTGAGAAAAGTGGATCGAAGAGGAGGCAAAGAAATCTCGAAGAACCATCCTCAAAAAGAGGACCAAAATTTCTTCATCTTCTTATAAACGAAGGTAAAAACATTTTTTTTTATGTTTTATTGACTTATATTGCGTACATTGTCTTGTTCTTTACTATTTTTGTGTGTTTCTCAATGGTTTTTGAACATTTTGTGCAGTGATTGTAGATTGTGTAGTTTTCTCAATGGTTTTAGTACATTTTACTGATTTTAGTACAAATTGTTGCTACTGTGGGTTTTGGTTTTGGTGATACATTTCTCATTTTATTCTTCTACGTAGCACCTGTCTTTTTGTTGTATGAAGTGATTTTCCATTTAAGCTAAAAACATTAATTCCTGCTTCCATATTCTTGTGATAGCCCTAGCGAGTTTACTATGTTGTTCTACCTATAGTATTTAATAGTGACAGAGCCAGCATTCGTGTCTAATGAACATTCTGAATCTATAATGTGTATGTAGAAGCTGCCACCACTATAGTCCGCAAGGCAAATTGCCTGTCATAGTGGCATTTAAGTTTCCCACCGTATGCAATAGCTTGAAGCATGACTAAAACTCTATCAATTTATCATTACACACTTGAAAACCATACTGTGGGATGCCAAAAATTATGGTCCTTTCTGAATATTGTTTAGAAAAGTGAGTTTGAACATCAAAGCATCTTTAGAAAAGTGTCAAGGCATGGCACAATCACAATCAATTGGCTAGTGCTTATGCATGGTGGTTGTGCCTTTGTTTATATGATTTTCCAATGAACAAATTTTCTCATCTATTGCACTTGGTGTTAAGATTGAAGTATTGATATTCTAATGATAAGCCTTTAGCTTTCCATTTAAATTCTTGATTAAGGTTTTGATCTTTTGAATGATTGACGTATGTACAAGTCTACAGGTAACTTTAATTGAGTTTTTTGGCCGTCACTCAAATCTATCTGCACCCGAATTTGTCAATTCACACTTCAAATTTATTATTTGATCTGTGATTGAAGAGTGAATATCATCTGAGTGCATTAAATTCTTTTTAGGGAGAGTCCAGCTTATAATCCATTGGCAGTGAACTATATGTTACTTTTTTTTTGTCACTTTTTTTATTCTCTGTCACTTTTTTTTATTTTATGTTACTTTTCCAAGTATATGCACTCTTTTAGTTACAAATATATTTTCAATCATTTGAGTGCATTAAATTCTTTTTTGTCCAACTTATAGTCCATTAGCAGTGCACTATATGTCACTTTTTTTTTTTTAGTTTTTGTCACTTTTTTTACTTTGTGTCACTTTTTTTATTTTATGTCACTTTTCCAAGTGTATACGCTCTTTTAGTTACAAACATGTTTTCAATCATCTGAGTGCATTAAATTCTTTTTTGTCCAGCTTATAGTCCATTGACAGTTCACTATATGTCACTTTTTTTACCATGTCATTTTTTCAAAAATTTTATGGCACTTTTCTAAGTGTGTGCATTCTTTTAGTTATAAACATGTTTTTAATCATTTGAGTGCATCAAATTCTTTTTTGTCCATTGGCAGTGCATTATATGTCACTTTTTTTTTTTTTTAGTTTTTGTCACTTTTTTGACTCTGTGTCACTTTTTTTAACTTTATGTCACTTTTCTAAATGTATGCACTCCTCTTTTAGTTACAAACATGTTTTCAATCATTATAACATGTTTGAAATGTGTATGTTATAGACTTTCATAATGCATGTACTTCTTCTTGAATTTTATTTTAATTTTTTTTTTGTAGGATTGGGATTTATTAATCCCTCAATGCTGTTGGTTTAAAGGAAAAGTGACATTGTTAACTCCACAAGAGGTTATAATAGATTTGAATGAAAAATTTAGTCCATATCAAAGGACTTTATTCAAGAATACATGCTTTGGTGCCTTCATTGATTTGAAGGAAATAATCTTGCAACCACAGTTGATACACCAGTTGCTGCTCAGACAAGTTAAACAGCCAAATTCAAATGAAATGTGGTTTCATATCTATGATAAATTGGTGAGATTTTCAATCAAAGAGTTATGTTTGATATCAGGGCTTAAGTGTACTGGAAATGGTGATCTAACTCGATATAGAATGAAGAGTCGTTTAAAAGAACAATACTTCAAAGATCACGAAAGTGTCACAACAAAAGAGGTTCAAGAAGTGTTTTTAAATTTGCCTGCTGACACTGTAGATAAAGATGTTGTGGATATAGGCATAGTTTATTTGATTACATCCTTCCTATTTGGTACATCCTATCATAAGGGAGTTGATGACTCATTTTTTTACCTTGTGGAGTCTGAGGATTTGAATTCTTTTCCATGAGGTATAGAAATTTTTAGGATAACTCTATCATCCCTAAAGAGTGCATTTAATTAGAAAATGAAGAATATCTTTATGGAAAAGAAGTTTTTGGAGTATAGATTGAATGACTTCCTTGTTTCTTTTCAAGTATGGATTTATGAAACAATTCCTGTTATTGCTTGGAAAAATTATTACATTAAGCATGAATCTTAGGGTCCTTGGATGTTGAGTTGGAGTAGCAATCAACATGTGACATCTATGGGGTTAAGGAAAACCATTTTTGATTTGATTAAAGTAAGTTTTTTTACTCTTTTATTGTTTATATTATGTCTTTAGTTTATCTTTTGTTGTTATTAATACGATTATGTATTTTTCAGTTGGAAGTGAATCAAATTGTGCCTCTTGAAGCTGAGAAGGGAGAAGAGTATGTGGTTG